CCCCAAAACCCCAAAACCCCAAAACCCCTTAAGAGAAGATTCGTTTAAATAGAAGTTTGATTAAGAAATAAAGTGCATTATATTAGATCATTTTAGCAGGAGTAAGTAAAATTTTACTATACATCAAAAGGACACTGGTCCTAAAGATATTTTCTTCTTTAGTTTAGTGTCTGCTTCATTTATATCTTTGACAGATAATTAATTTTTACCTTTTTCATCTGGTTGGCTCTAGAGCACAGTCTTTTTCTAATAATCAAACATTCCATAAGTACTTTTCAATTTAAGAACAGCGAATATCAAAGCTAGAATTTGTATAAGGAAGTGTACCATAAATACTCCTTATGGTTCAATATACCTTGTGAAAGAGGGATTCAAAGCTCCAACTAATCCGTAAAACAACCAGTAAATAAAAAAGGCAAAAGCAAGTTACATATTATTTGATACCTCTGCCACATATGTCCACACAACAGCATAATTAAATATCGAGTAAAATATCACAAATACAAGTAGGAAAATTACGACTACTTCATCTGATTAATTGGCAGATCCCATAGCTAATATAGCATGTATAATAGCCATTATGATATGCCCTGTTACTATTTGAATATTCTTAGGATACTTTCTCATGAAGTATACAGTGTAGACACAACTGCAAAATCCAAATATTCCTAGCAAAATCAAAGCTTGAAATGCTGATAATTATGACTCATGAGTGCTGTATAAATGCCTATGGATTCTACCTTGATAGAGATGCACTACATATATACCTGAAAGCTGATGAAACATCATTATTAGACTGAGAATAATTGTGGTTTACTAATGCTCTTTTGAACCAAAATTTTATCTTAGTGTTGCCTTATCAGGATACTTATTTTAATGTTTCTTCAAGAATGAGATAACTTAATCTGGATCTTCAGTATGATGGTAGATATCTTTTACAGTTCTCCTTCCCTAGTTATATTTAGCATTGATTATTGCAAACTTTGGAGTATCATGCTCAATTCCGAAATGAACACCTAATGCTATGACAATGTACAGCATTAGAGGAAATGCTACTATTATTCTCCAAGCTTCTGATCTCATATAGTGCTCCTCCACCATTTATTCATTCAAATTATCTGGATTCAAAATTGCGTAAAAAATGAAAGTTGTAAGTCTAGCAAATGAAATTCCAACCATTAATAAAGGGGAAAGTAAGTCGAACAAATGATAGGGAATTGTCTCATCTATGTATCTTAATATTGTTACAGCATATACTCCAACGCCGAATCCATTAAGAAATTTACCGAAATAAAGTGCTTGAATCATTGTGAATTAGAAAAATAGGGTACCAATAACTCCTACAAAAGTACCTATTTATAAACTTGTTTTCCTTCCCATCGTCATTAGCTTGCCTGCTGCTAAAGATCCAAGCGCTGCTCCAATCATGTCCATAAAACCAAACATCGAAGCATAATAGTTCTTGTATGAGGTATCAAGTCCGAATTTCTGCATGAAAACATCTATGAGAATTCCCATAGTATGTATTATAAAGCCAATTTACATTCCAACAAGGAATACTACAGTCATGAATTTTGTCATGTAGTATCTGTTTATCTTATACTTCTTGTGTTCCACATACTTTATTGATTAACTAGGTTACTCATTGGTATGATTGTCATATGTTATATTAAGATTCTCATTGAATTCAAAATCTCTGAATTCCTAGTATATAGATTAGCGCTCGGGTTAAGATTTCGAGCTGGACCGTCTCCTAGCGTAAAGTGACATTTTAGTAATTAACTTATAATCTATTTGGAATAAACATCTACTAATTGTTTAGTTTAGTTGTTATAATAATTATCGTAGTTAGAATATCTTTATTAATTTAATATATCCATTATATTATAATAAACAATAAATGAAATTTAGCTTAACGGGGTTTTGGGGTTTTGGGGTTTTGGGGTTTTGGGG